ATTCCATGAAGGGCAGGTACCTGACTTGTAGATTTTTCTGGTATAAGGTAATTGAAGATCAATAAGCTTAATATTAGCTGAGTAGAGAAAGGGAGACCACCTCTTAAGAAAGGTAAGGAGCTGGACAAGTGCCCATGTCCACAGAATATGAAGGTACGAATGACTGCACCATGATTTTTCTCAAAAAGCAATCTGAGTTTTCATCAACAGAATATGAAGAATGAGTAATCACTCAGCAAGTCTTTGAGTAATTTGTGGGGATCATAAGTGATTTTACAATTTCTTTCAATGGTCATAGATGACTTCTAAGAAGATAAATACAATTTGGTTTACTTTTGGAAGTTAATGCAAATATTTAAATATACTGAAATCTGTAGTAGACTGAATTAGCAAAGTCTCATTGATACACCTCTTCTCCAGATCACACAATTTTAGGCTTTTTTTCCCACCTGAATCAGGTTAATAATAGTCTTCAAAACTTGCTTTCTAAATATTTCAGACCACTAACTTGCCTGTAGCACCTGGAACAAATTTCAACAAATGGCATACTGGAAATATTTTTTTGCACCTATTATACTCTATTACAGAAGCCTAGTTTTTCTTCCTTCCATATTCAAGTAAATGTGTAAATATCACCGTTCTGATGTGGATGCTCTGTCCCGCCATTTTGGAAATAATGTCATGAAAAGAAAGGCAACTTTTATGCAAAAATTGGAACTTAAGTTTTGATTTAGGAACCTCAAAAAAATATTCTTCAAATCTAGTGAAATAAAATAATTAAAAATTAAATATACAGATATATTCTTCAGAGTAGCAGGGAATTTAAGATTGACTTTAAAAACTCAAAATTTTAAAGTTTTTTTTTTTTGAGACGGAGTTTTGCTGTTGTTACTCAGACTGGAGTGCAATGGCACGATCTCGGCTCACCACAACCCCCGCCTTCTGGGTTCAAACAATTCTCCTGCCTCAGCCTCCCGAGTAGCTGGGACTACAGGCGCACACCACCATGCCCAGCTAATTTTTGTATTTTTAGTAGAGACGGGGTTTCACCTTGTTGACCAGGATGGTCTCGATCTCTTGACCTCGTGATCCACCTGCCTTGGCCTCCCAAAGTGCTGGAATTATAGGCATGAGCCACCGCACCCGGCCTAAAACAGCTTTCTTTTAATTATCTTTGCTAACTCAAATATCTTGTTTTGATGTCAACATAACACACCATGTATTTAATCATAAAATGGTTTCACCATTTGCAATTACATATACAATATTTCTAAATAAAACAATTTTTAATTTTTTTTGAGATGGGGTCTTGCTCTGTTGCCCAGGCTGGAATGTGGTGGCATGATCACGGCTCAATGCAGCTTTGAATTCCCAGCCTCCAGCAAACCTCCTGCCCAACCTCCCAAGTAGCTGCTACTACAAAGGCACACCACCATGCCTGGCTAATTTTTTTGTATTTTTGGTAGAGATGAGATTTCACCGTGTTGCCCAGGCTGACCTAGAATCCCTGAGCTCCTGAGCTCAAGCAATTCACCTGCCTCAGCCTGCCAAAGTGCTGGGATTACAGGCATGAGCCTGCAAGTTCCATATGAAAATAGAATGATTACATAAGATATTTCTTGCTAGGCTCAGTGGCTCACACCTGTAATGCTAGCACTTTGGAAGTCCGAGGTGGGACGATAGCTTGAGCTCAGGAGTTTTGAGACCAGTCTGGGCAACCTCATGAGGTAGTAAGATCTCATGTCTACCAAAAAAATAAATTAGCCGGGCATGGTGGCACACACCTGTAGTCTCAGCTACTTTGTGTGGCTGAGGTAGGAGGATCACGAACTCAGGGGTTTAAGGCTGCAGTGAGCCATGACTGCATAACTGCACTTCAGCCTGGGTGATAAAGCAAACTCTGTCCCCCAACCCAGCCAAAAAAATGTATTTCTTCATTGAAGCTTTAAAACCTGATTGTTCCTGACCTCAGGGAACTAAGAAATCTAGCTGAGGAGTCAAAACGAACAGAGGCACACATAAATAAATTTACCAGACTTTTACAAAGCAATACATTTGTTTCCTCTAATCTATTCTTTACATTCCAACAAGACCCATTTTAAAACAGTTTTCCTTAAACGTTCAAAACTCAAGAAACTCCAACAGCTCTCTATGACCTAAAGAACCATTTGTACATTTTTTAGAAATGCAACTGCCCGAGTCCCACTCCAGATCTCATTCTTAATTTCTGGGGATATGTTTAAAAGTTCCACAAAGAGTCTGAAGCACAAGAATGAGAACCACAACTGAGTTCACCCTATCTGAGATGTTCCCTCTGTCAGGACAGTCCTTTTCATGTCTATTCTCTTGGTTTATATTTTCTCTTGTCTGAAAATGTTCCTTTTCTCCTCTCCAAATACCCATATTTCTAAATAAGCTTCAAAATCTTTCCTCCTCCATGAAATGACACTAACCCCTATAACTCAACGATGTCTCCACTTCTCTGTAAACATCAATACCTTCATACATATAATTTATTAATATTTTAGGTCTACTTCTTTTACACATTGAGGGGCATTTAAAACTGTCTGATGGACAACTGGCAAATTTCCTTCACTACAGCAAATCTAAAACATATGCAACAATATTTATACCCATATATTTCAAACTTTCAAAATTATGTTGCCTTAATACCTAGAGTTATAGAAAACTTCAGGTAAATTTGTTCATTCCTCGATTGTGATTTTTATACTACTGTCAATCATCAGTGCTAATGATATCAGTTTCACATACCTAAACTGAAAAATTCAAGTTTCTAACATGAATCCCATAAGGGAAGTTAGTGCTACAACTCTGAGAATATCTTCAAGAAGACTGCAGGAAAGTAATCAAGGGAAAGCATGAAACATTACATCTCAATAGATTTAGAATCCAAAGGGTCAGACATTCACGAGATTAGGTTTCAAAGTACAAATTTGGAAGTACAGTATATGAACAAGACCATTATTGAGACTGTATCAGAAAATGAATTCAAAAAGAATATGCACAGAAAGATAAAAGAAAATTTTAAGAATGGATCATGGAGCCAGGCACAGTGGCTCACGCCTGTAATTCCAGCACTTTGGGAGGCCGAGGCAGGAGGATCACCTGAGGTTGGGAGTTTGAGACCAGCCTGACCAACACCGAGAAACCCCATCTCTTAAAAAAAAAAAAAAAAAGAATGGATCATGGAGCAGAAAGAAAAGAGGAAGAAAAAACTGACCAATGGATGAAATAGAATTAGAGAAACACAAGGAAAAAATTTGAATAGCAGAGTACTTTGAAGGGGTGTTTTTCTAAAAAAAAAAAACAACACATTAAATATTAAGATTTATACATAAAAGTTAGTTACTGCCTCATAGCCTTAAAGTAATTAAAGCAGTAGCACTGGTAATTCAGGAAACTGCATTGTATCTTCTAAGGTACCAGAATACATAATGTGCCTAAAGGACACTCTAAATCAAAGAAGGCTGATCTTCCTGAGTTACTGCTACCTGAGATCTACAAGATCTTCAAAAATTCAGTCTGTTACTACCTAATATTTTAAAAACTAAGCAAACCTTCCCAGATGCAAGAAGCTTCAAAAACATACAGAAAATTAATTCACAGTATACCACTTCTTGCTTCTTAGTTTATCTGCAGCTCTCTTTGTCGTCTTCTAAACAGCATTTTATTTCTAGAAGTTTGAAAATGCTAAATACTGAAAAAGACCCAAGAGAAAGGACATAGAATACCAGAGAGACACTGGGGAAAATACTACTTATCTACCAACTTGGACCGCATGCTAATTTCTACCTACCTATCTACCTACCAACTTGGACTTCATGCTCATTTCTTCTCCAGAAAATTTCAAAACACCTTAAGTTGGGGCCATGATAATGACAAAAAACAATTATTCATGAAAATCAGGTCTCCCTCACTAACCAGTTGTTTCTCAAACGTCCCAGTGATACACCTGGCCTCTCGCAAACATGCTTGTGTAAGTTCTCCCATGTATTAAGCTTATCGAGTTATAGCTAGGACCTTGACCATTAGAAATGCTGTTACTACTCTCTTAGAAATAATGCAAATCACGTTTAGGGAGGCCCAACTTATAATGCAGAAAGTATAGTATCTCTACCTTTATGCAGGTAGAAGGTTCATGTTATCCTATCTAATTTTTACTCAGGGCCAACCAATCCAAATACATAGGGTTATGTAAGTGGTTTTTGACTAAAGTTGATGTTGTCCTCCCTACTTCCTCAAGAGATATGTGGCAATGCCTAGAGATATTTTTGGTTGTCACAACTGGGAATTGCTATTAGTATATAGTGTATAGGAGACAGGGATGCTGCTAAACACACTACAATGCACAAGTCAGTCCAGAAATTATCCCATCTAAAATGTCAATAGGTTGAATTACTCTAGGTTATACAGGTTGAGTATCCCTAATCTGAAAATCCAAAACCTAAAATGCTTCAAAATAAACTTTTTGGGCATCAACACGACACTCAAGAGAAATATGCATTGGAGCATTTTGGATTTTGCATATTTTGAAAAAGATGCTCAACTGGGAAGACAAATATTCTAAAATCCAAAATATTTGTGGTCCCAAGCATTTTGGATAAGGAACACTCGACCTGTACTATATTTGGGAGTTTGCTAATGTTTTTGTTTGCTCTAGCATCAACATCATTTAATAGTGAGATTGCCCCGCCCAGCGGCCAACTATGGCAATCGCCACAGAGAAGGGGGTGCTGGTGGAGATGGTACAGGCGCTCTATGAGGCTCCTGCTTACCATCTTATTTTGGAAGGGTTTCTAATACTCTGGATAATAAGACTTCTTTTCTCTAAGACTTACAAATTACAAGAACAATCTGATCTTATAGTCAAGGGAAAGGAAGAACTGATTGAAGAGTAGCAACCAGAACCTCTTGTTCCTCCTGTCCCAAAAGACCATCCTGCCCCTCAACTACAACATCGTTTCAGGTTAAGTGAGCACCTGGTCTTTGAGAATTTTCTCGAGACAGCTCTCTTTGGTTCCACGACTCTTCCATCCACTTTGTGTGGCCTTGCACCCATGGCTGCGTCTGCCTCCTCCACAGTGGCATATGTGAAGAAGCCAAAGCCCCTGGAGCGCTTGGTGTTTGGATCTCTCATTACCACACAGTCCGTGAGCGTTCCCCACTGCTCAGAATGGCTCCTCAGGCTGTCGTTGGTTGTTTCAAAGCTCAACCCTCCAATGAAGAACTTCCTTAGCTGTTTGGCTCTTTAGGAGACTCTGACTTAGACATGATCACAGGGAGCAGAGAGACTTTAATGATGCTTCTTCAGTGGCATCCACAGGCAGAAACGACTATTAATTATTTTTGACACGGAGTTTCGTTCTTGTTGTCCAGGCTGGTGAGCAGTGGTACGATCTCACCAAGCCCTGCCTCCTGGGTTCTAGCGATTCTCCTGCCTCAGCCTCCCAAGTCGCTGAGATTACAGGCATGTGCCACCATGCCTGGCTAATTCTGTATTTTTAGTACAGATGCGGTTTCTTCATGTTGGTCAGCTGGTCTTGAACTCCCAACCTCAGGTGATCCACTGTACCCAGCCACAGATACCAATTTTTACTCAATTCTTGGTGTGGTCAAAAGGGACGGGGAGGATGAGGGGCCCAGCAGCCACGTGGGCCAAGTCAGAGTTAGGAGGAGGAGCTAGGACCTGTGACATGTAGGTGGCCTGGGGCAGGTAGTCTCAGCAGGTCAAGAGACATCGGGTCAGGATGGCTGGCACTGCAGTTTACCGTATCTTCTTTATCCTCCCATGTCGTTTTTTTCAGTCTCCTGGATTGTGGTTTTCTACCTAATGCCCCCATGTTGTCCGTAAATCTCTCCAGGGATAGGCGGGGACATGTAGCGGGTGAGGGCCCCTCATCTCTCCCCCACCTCCATTGCTGGGGAGGGACCAGTGGCAGCTGCTGGGGTTGCCCTGACCGTTTTCGTTGCCGGGAACTGTGGCTGGCAGCTCTGGGTGGAGAAGAGCTGCTTGTTACAAGAGCTGCAGGATCCTTGTGCTGGGTCTCCTTCCCCCACATCTGCAAGCCTGAGGAGCTGGGCAGGTGGTCTTTCCCCAGCACCTGAGAGGCTGCCTTCTCTGGCCAATGGGAGCAGCCGGGAACTGGGCCAGGGAGCACTGCTGGAGCTGAGTCAGGCTTCCCAAAGGTAAGGACGCCTCCTGCAGGGCTCTGTGCGCTAGGCACTCCGTGGCCCTCGGAGTGGAAACTCACTGCAGGTACCTGGACCTTGTCAGTTCTGTTCGTTTCTGTCAGGCTCCTGCTATGGACATTTCCCTTTAAGGCCATGGGACTGTAGCCGAGCGAAGAGAGGTTTCCCTGAGTCTCCAGGGCCCTTGAGGTGGATGCTGCTCCCCCATTGCTATAGGGGCCTCCTTTCTCCTCCTCCTGCCCCTGGGTCTCTACCTGATCGTCCATCTTCATTGGTTCTTGCGGCTCTTCTTCTGACCACACCTCCGTCTTCAGGATAGGGACGGAATTCCAAGACCTGTTCCCCAGTACCTGTAGCGAAGGCAGTTGAAGAGGAAACTTGAGTGACTTCTTATTAGGCCTCACTCCCCAACACTGTTGCATTGGGGGTTACATTTCTAACATGTCAACTTTGGAGAATACATTCAAACCATAGCAGTCACTCCATTTGAGACACAGAAAAACCTAAAAAGATCTTAAGAGAAGAATCAGCAATATAAGGTAGATTTCAAATGCCAACTTAAGCTGGAAGAATGCAGAAAAGCTAGAGGACTTCCAAAGCCTTCTTTGGAACATAAATATGTCCCCTCTGGACTAATTTTTTTTTTTTTTTTTTGAGACTGAGTCTTGCTCTATTGCCCAGGCAGGAGTGCAGTGGTGTGATCACAGCTCACTGCAACACTGCAACCTCTGCCTGCCAGGTTCAAGTGATTCTCGTGCCTCAGCCTCCTGAGTAGCTGGGATTACAGGCACATTCCAGCACACCCAGCTAATTTTTGTAGACAGTGTTTCACCGTGTCGGTCAAGCTGGTCTCAAACTCCTGACCTCAAGTGATCCACTCACCTCAGCCTCCCAAAGTGCTGCGATTACAGGTGTGAGCCACTGCACCCAGCCTGGACTGATATTTTCGAAAGCGGGGACCTTCTTTCTTTTTTACATCTCTGTAAACTAAACACCTACTATAGTGTTCTAGAAATACTAAATTAATGAATTTATAAAAACAAAGCACACAACTGCTATGCTTTTTCTTCACATGCTCACATGCTGTGTAGTGTCTACATTTTAAGCCATAAGCTTGGAAATGCAATCAATACATACTTTTGAGAATGACAATTAAAGCACACATACTCACGCACCTTCCTTCATAACACAGGTATGGTGATTTTACCACCAAGGCCTAAGAGAAGTAAGTTTTGAGGAAAATAAGGAATCTGTAAACCACTCATACAAGTAACAGGAGCCAACATGTTCAGGGTCTAATGTTACTCAGACAGCAGGTCTAGACAAAATAAACATTTGTTCTATTACCTTTTTGTTATGTTGCCATGGGAATCTATATTTGCAGGAAAACTTATTTTCTGCAACATGATGACAGAGCAGTAACAAAGGGAGAGATCTGATGAAAAAAGGAGGGGGGTTTACATCTGTAAAGGCAGGAAGGACAATAAATAATACAGGTTTTTACAGGGTCACATGTCTGCAGGATCTTTCAATCTACACAATGTATGCAAGTTTAACAGAGAAATCCTTGGGGCCTCAAAGCCAAGACATTAATGGCCGATAACAGTGGTCCAACCTCTACTAAAAGTACTGTAATAGGGAAAAGGCAGAGAAATGTAAAGCAGAAAAGGGGTCAAATAAAAAAAAGGGCCAAGTAAGATCATAAAAGTTTAACTGTTGAAAGAAGGTAAAAATGACTTTTTTAAAACATGATCCAAAAGTAAGAAAAACCCTAGAAGCCAAAGAAGTTAAAAAACACTCAATCTGCCAGCAGACTAATCTTCCATTTCAGTTAAACTCAAGAGCTAATCTCTGTTCTCTTCCTTTTGGCAACAAAATCCTGAAAAAGTAAGTAAGCTCATGTTATTTAAAGAGCTGGACTGGAATATACTGTATTTCTAGGGCCCAACAAAAATACTGGCTCTGGCACTCTGGACTGCTGTAATGAGTTGTGAGGATGGTTCAGGGCTCTCCACCAATTCATCCACAGTAGTGGTTTAGGATAGAATGGGTAAGCAACAGCAAGGACAGAATTGGGACCCCAGAGCACCGTGATCTGTTAAAACATGATTTAAGTCACATCCTTCCTGTGGTCATAACCCTCCAAGGCTTCCCCTTTCACTCGAAGGAAAAGTCACAGTCTTTATAAAGGCAAATAAGACGCTACATGATACCTGCACAACTGCAGCACCCCTGCACACACACACTTTTCTACCTACATTTGGCCCCTGGTTCATTTAGTACTAGCTATACTGGTCTCTTAGCTATTTCCTGGAGCATTGGGCCCTTGCCTCTGGGCTTTTGCACTTGTAAAGCCTCAACCTAGAATGCTCTTACATCCTCACCCAGGTCCAAACAGTGTCACCTTCTTCAGGTTTTTGCTCAGTTGTTATTTATCAATGATGCTTACCCTGTTCATCTTGCTTAAAAGTCCAACAGCCATCCTAGCACTCACTCTCCTTCCCTTGCTGCTTTTTCTCCACAGCACTTATCTGACATACTATATTCCGACCCCTCCCCACACCCCCAAAGATGGAGTTTCACTCTTGTTGTCCAGGCTGGAGTGCAATGGCATGATCTTGGCTCACTGCAACCTCCACCTCCTGGGCTCAAGCGATTCTCCTGCCTCAGCCTCCCAAGTACCTGGGATTACAGGCACCCACCATCACACCAGCTAATTTTTTGTATTTTTAGTAGAGACAGGGTTTCATCATGTTGGCCAGGCTGGTCTCAAACTCCTGACCTCAGGTGATCCACCTGCCTCGGCCTCTCAAAGTGCTGGGATTACAGGCGTGAGCCACTGTGCCCGGCCATACTATAAATTTTACTTATTTTTTATCTACTTCCACTGCCATCCCCATTAGAATATAGCTTCTTTTTTTTGTTTTTGGAGACAGGGTCTCACTCTGTCACCCAGGCTGGAGTACAGTGGCAGGATCACAGTTCACTGCAACCTCAACCTCCCGGGCTCAAGCAATCCTCCCACCTCAGCCTCCCAACTAGCTGGGACCACAAGAGTGTGCCACCAAGCTTGCATATTTCTTAAAATTTTTTTAGTAGAGGAGTCTCCCCATCTTGCCCAGGCTGCTGGTTTCTAACTACTGGGCTCAAGCAATCCTCCTGCCTTGGTCTCCCAAAGTGATTAACTGCGTGAGCCACTGCAACTGGCCAGAATATAGCTTCTTGAAGGCAGAAATTTTTATCTCTTTTGTTCATCTTTCATCTCCAGCACTTAAGAGTAAACTATACATGGTAGGCACTCAAGGTATGAGTCCTGTCCTCAAGGAGACTACCATGAACCTATGTTCTTCCCCTTTCTCTCTACACTCTGGTACCCTGTAACACTCCTTTTAACTTTGTAACACAAAGTTCAGAAAATGGCACTAAAATATATCCATTTACCCAAGGCCAACACTTAGAAATCCTAGACTCCTCACTCTCCTATACCTCTTTCCCTCCCACATTCAGCCTTGGAGCCAAGCATGCCCAAAACCCGGGATCCATTTGTCAAGTGCAGAATTTACAAACCACCACTTCTTCTTCCCTAGAATAAATTATTAAAAGGCTTGAACATTGCACTGGAAAACTGGTTAATTTTATAAATCATTAACACATACATACAGGCGTACCTTGGAGATACCATGAGTTCAGTTCCAGACCACCACAACAAAGTGAATATCACAAAAAGAATGACTGAACTTTTTGGTTTCTCAGTGTATATAAAAGTTATATTTTCATGATACTGTAGTCTATTAAGTATGCAATAGCAATATGTCATACACACACACACACACACACACACACATATGCACAACTTAATTTAAAAATACTTTATTGGCTGGGCATGGTGGCTCATGCCTGTAATCCTAGCATTTTGGGAGGGCAAGGCGGGAGGATCACTTGAGGTCAGGAGTTGGAGACCAGCCTGGCCAACATGGTGAAACCCCCATCTATACTAAAAATACAAAAATTAGCCAGGCATGGTGGCACACACCTGTACTCCCAGCTACTTGGGAGGCTGAGGAGGGAGAATCGCTTGAACCTGGGAGGCAGAGGGAGCCTTGAGCTAAGATCACGCCGTTGCACTCCAGCCTGGGCGATAGAGCAAGAGTCTGCCTCGAAAAAATTAATAAATACTTTATTGCTAAAAAATGCTAAAGGTCACCTGAGCCTCCAGCAAGTCATTATCTTCTTACTGGTAGAGGGTCTTGCGTCAAGGCTGATGCCTGCTGACTGATCAGGGTGGTAGTTGTTGAAGGTTGGGTGACCGTGGCAATTTCTAAAAATAAGCTAACAGTGAAGCTTGCTGCACTGATTTACTCTTTCTTTCGTGCTAGATTTCTCTATAGCCTGCAATGGTGTTTGACAGCATTTTGCCCACAGTAGAACTACTTTCAAAATGGGAGTCAATCCTCTCAAACCTTGCTGCTGCTTTATCAACTAAGTTTATGTAACATTCTAAATCCTTTGTTGTCATTTCAACAATGTTCATAAGCATTTTCACAAAGGGAAGATTCCATCTCAAGAAATAACTTTGTTCATCCCTGAGAAGCAATTTCTCATGTATTAATGTTTTTTGTTTGTTTGTTTGTCTTACTCCGTCTCCCAGGCTAGAGTGCAGTGGCACAATCTTAGTTGTCACTTGTTTGCCAGTGGCTCACTGTAACCTCCACCTCCCCAGTTCAAGCCGCAACATCCAGCTAATTTTTGTATTTTTTGTAGAGGCGGAGTTTAACCATGTTAGCCAGGCTGGTCTCAAACTCCTGACCTCGGATGATCAGCCTCCCAAAGTGCTGGAATTACAGGTGTTAGCCACTGCATCCTCCACTTTGCACTATCGAGTTATGCTAGGGAGACAGATTCTTTCCTTAAACCTATGAACCACCCTCTGCTGGCTTCAAAATTATCTTTTGCAGCTTTCTCACCTGTCTCAAACTTCATAAAATTCAAGAAAGTTAAGGCATTGCTCTAGATTAAGCTTTGGCTTCAGGGCATGTTATGGTTGGTTCGATCTTTTCTCCAGACCATTAAAACTTTCTCCACCTCAGCAACAAGGCTGTTTTGCTTTCTAATCATTCATTTGTGGCCAGACACGGTGGCTCAAGCCTGTAATCCCAGCACTTTGGGAGGCCGAGGTGGGTGGATCACGAGGTCAACAGATCGAGACCATCCTGGTCAACATGGTGAAACCCCGTCTCTACTAAAAACACACACAAAAAAATTAGCTGGGCATGGTGGCGCCTGCCTGTAATCCCAGCTACTCAGGAGGCTGAGGCGGGAGAATTGCTTGAACCCAGGAGGCGGAGGTTGT